TCCATCTTAGACGTCCATTCAGATCGGACAACTGGATGAGGGAATTATATATCGATTGCAAGGGGGCTAGCTAGTAGGAGATGGAATCAGCTCGACCATCCACGAATGGTATAGCCATCTAAACACTTTTATATGGTAGGGAAAGTATAGAAAACTTTCCTTTATATTAATTTATTTATTTTTTCTTTTATTTCTTCTAAAATCGAGTCCAACTTATTTTATTAGTGGTTGGACCGAGTTTCTTATATATAGTAGGGGAAGTATAGAAAACGTTTTTTTGTAGTAATTTATTTTTTTATTTTATTTCTTCTAAAGTCCAGTCAAATTGAGTATAATAGTGGTTGGATCGAGTTTGACTTGAGTATAATAGTGGTTGGATCGAGTTTGACTGGACTAAACCCCTCACCAGTTTGGTAGGTAGATCAATCCTGTAAGAAGAATGGACATAAGTACATAACAAAATTGAGGTTCATATTATGCATGGAAAAATAAAATAAACTATACTGGTACATAGTTATTCCATGTGTATAATAGGTAATTCCTTATGGAGTAGTTCCTCTATAAAATTTAGGTAAAATTATGTATATATTCGTTATAATTTTTGTTATTATCAAAATACCAAATATTTTCCTTTATTACTGGAATGTGTGTTTTTTTTCACTTCATAACAAAAAAATTTTAAAAACAAAATACTTTTTTCCCCTTTTTCGGTTTTTGAAAAACCAAAAATAGGCAGAAGCTTGAAATTTGCATTCTTATTTTCGGTTGTCGAACGACCGAAAATGCCTAGTGTTCGGTTGTTGAACAATTGAAAATAGGACTGCGTATTTCAGAAGCTTGCTGGAATATGCAGTCCTATATTCGATTCTTGAACATCCGAAAATGTATTGCTTTTGGTTGTTCAACAACCGAAAACCAAAAACCGAAAACATAACTGGTATTCCATAAGCATGCTCAACATCCGAAAATGTTATATTTTTTGTTGTTTAACATCCAAAAATATCCTATTTTCCGTTGTTCAACAACCGAGAATAGGACAGAAGCATGGAATTTGCATTCTTATTTTCGAAAAATGCCATATTTTCGGTTGTTCAATAACCGAAAGTAGGACTGCATATTCCATAAGCTTAAACGAGCCCCTCTATTTTTTGTTGTTCAAGAACTGAAATTAGCTTATTTTTTGTTTTTGAACAACTTAAAATCTAGCCATTTCGGTTGTTCAAAAACCAAAAAAGGGTAAAAAAAGTTCTTTTAAAAAAAAATTTGTTATGAAATGAAAAAAACAGATATTCTAGTAATAACATAAACTATTTGGTATTTTGGTAATAATGGAAACTATAACGACGATATGCGTGATTTTCCCTAAAATTTATACCACCCGTCATTTTTCTTTGCTACCTTAAGATCCACCTAATTAATTCTTTAATTAATTTTTAATTAATCGCAAACATAAATTGGCAATAACCATCAATAAATAAGTTGACAATTATTCCCTAAAAAATCCATATATAAAATTTAGAATGTTGACAATTATTCCCTAAAAAATCCATATATAAAATTTAGAATGTGTTTTTATTATTTTGGGTAGTTCAACAGTAAGAATCGAACTAGAGATATAATGCTGCTAAACGTTAGTTGCTCGTCACTCAAACCCAAGCCCAATTACTATAGTTTATATTGTATTGAACCATATATGTATCCTAGACTAAGAGCTGAGGTACGCCAAAATGTGGGCCAAGGGCAAGGTCACCTCAGCCCTAGGTTGAGCTTAGGCCATGGTTTATAGCAAAGCTGGCTTGAACTGGCAAGGGTTGGGTAGAGCCATCTAGCCAAGACCCTAGGCCACACTAGGATTATAGCAAGCTTGGCCTTAACCGAGCCAAGTCTAATTGAGGTCATCTAGCTAATACCTCAGGCTAGGCCTTGCTAAGGCCTTTGCTCGATACAGGTTTCTAGGGTGAACAACATGTATCTGAGAGAGAGCGAGAGAGGGAGAGAGATTTCTACTCAACTCTATTTTGGGCAAGGGTTCTTGAATATTCCTTTCGAAACCTTGAGCCACCAAAAATAGAAGGCATTGTCTACATATAGATCATTTGTTTTTGTACTTGGAGGTTACAATCATTTTTTTCCTTTAAATTTTAAAATGGGTGGTTGTAAAAGTATCATTGAATAAATACATAATTCTAAATAAAAAATACTCTTGGACTTCGTGAGTTACCCCAAGCCATCTACTTTGACATTTAATGAGTGTGAATAATTATAAACACCCTGCACAAAAAGATAAGTGGTCCCCAAACGAAAACCTTAACAAACAAAACACAAAGAAAAACCCATAAACACATGGAGTTGGTAGATAATTAAGCGAGGCACCACACCAAACTCAGGCATATAATGGTATCACGAATTCATTGGCCTTGCCTCCCGTTGTCTTTCACAAAAACCAACTTATTGAGAGGAGCCATAACCTTTTTGTTCTCATCAAATAAACCTAAATCAGTTCATTTTTTTTGAACAACCAAAAAAAAAAGAAAGAAGAAATTACAGATATAGCCACAAAGAGAGAGAGACGGAGGATTAAGACCCTCAAATCCCAAATGTGAATAAATGGGTTGGAACTCGAAAGTCCAACACATAAACCACAAAAGGAAAAGGATGATGGCATGGGTGGAGAAAAAGGAAGTCCATGGTAGCTTTTCTTGCTATCTTGTTCTTGTTTTAGGCTGTAATCTTGGGCTCAGAGAGCTGGAGAGATGGGTCAGCCTCATTAGGGAGGTTCTTGCCCCAGAACCAGTGCTTCTTCCATACTAAGTGCATCTCTTCAATGGGCACATTCTTGGTTTCAGGAAGGAAGATGTAGATGAAGATGGTCATGATGAGAACCCAGCCTGCGAAGAAGAAGAAGAGGCCGAATTTGAGGTGGCAGAGGAGCGTGAGGAAGACCTGGGCAATCACGAAGGTGAAGAGAAGGTTAACGGAGACGTTGATACTCTGGCCGGCAGAGCGGATCTCGAGGGGGAAGATCTCAGAGGGCACGAGCCACCCGAGTGGTCCCCATGACCAGGCGAAGGCGGCAACGTAGGTGCAGATGAGGAAGACCACAACGTCGGCCTGGCCCTTGGTGAGGCTCCCGGTGCCGGAGACCCCGAAGACCTTGCCGATCATCACACCAATGATCATCTGCCATGCAAAAACCAACATATTTTTACTAATTGATATCTCCATTAATTTGATTTTCACAACAATTCGAAATACTTAACATCCTCCTTAAACCGCTTGGGTTTTGGGGATACTGACCTGACTGATGAACATCTGGACACCGCCCTCTAGAAACAGGATCCTCCTGCCATACCTATCGACTGTCACAATAGACACAACGGTGGCAATCGTATTGACGAAACCACTTATGACAGCAGACATGAGCGACGCATCATCTGCAAATCCTATGGTCTTGAAGAGCACAGGCGCATAAAACATGATGACATTGATGCCAGTCAATTGCTGGAAGAAGGGGATGGCAATGGACATCACCAATTGGGGCCTGTATTTCTTCTGCAATATGTTCTTCCATGGGTGAGTAACTTTCTTCGAAGCCTCACTAGCCTCAACCAAGTTCTTGTACTCCTCCTCAATGCTATCAGTGCCTCTGATTTTCCTGAGCATGTTCTTGGCCTTCTCGGGCTGGTTACGCTCGATCAGGGAGTTGGGGGTGTCTGGAAGGAAAATGGCACCGACAGTCATGATGATTGCAGGGACGGCAGCAAGGGCAAGGGAGATACGCCATCCATAGCTGCCCTTGATCTGGGCAGTGCCGTAGTTGACGAGATTGGCAGCAAGGATACCGATGGTGATGGCAAGCTGGAATCCCATATTGAGGCCTCCTCGGAGCTTGGCTGGAGCCATCTCAGAGAGGTACAGAGGGACAGACTGCAATGGAGGAGGAAAATATTGCATAATTAAAAGGTTAATTTGAAGATACTACAGAAACCATTAATTATCACAATTATTCTGATGTTGGAATTCAAACTTAAGAAATAAAAACCTAAGGAAAAGGACTTCAAAATCTCATCACAAATGGGACTTCATTTTGGGATGGGGAAGTAAAAAACAGCTAAGTTTTTGTTTAGAAGCTCATCACGGATAAAAATGGACAAGAAAACAAAATTTAAAAAAACAAAGAAAGAAGAAGAAAAGAAGAAGAATATAAAGTTTAGAGTATGGATTTTAAAATTTTTTTTTTTTTGTGCTAGATAACACTAAAATTCTCGTTTGTCATATACATAACATACTTGCTTTGGCTCATTTAGCCATTTTCTTGGACCAACTGAACTACTAAAGGTTCCAGGCTCATTTCATGTCCTCTAATCTCCCATCTAGTAAAATTAACAATAATAATAATAATGAGAGAAATTCGATTTGTTTATTTTACCTGGTTGGCAAATCCAATTCCAATACCAAGAAGAATACGACCGATGATGAGCATAGCGACATTCGTGGCTGCTCCGTTGATGGCAGAGCCAGCCAAGAAGACGGCACCACCAAACAACATGGACGGCCTTCGACCGAAGAGCCTTGTCATTGTAGAGGCAAAGAAGGAGGCGATAAGCCCCGCAATATAGAGGGAGGAGGTGAAGGTGGTAAGCAGCTGGCTATCGAATTTGCAGTACTGGTTCTCATGGGTTTCCTTCATGTTTGTGTAAACAGAAGGGAAGAAATCCTTCAAGAACACATCCATGGATGTGACCCCACCTGCGAATACCATCCTAGCTTAGGACCTGCAATTCATTGTAGAGGATTGCAAAAGAAATATATTTATCTTTTTGGAAAAATATGTGTTCCTGCTTTGTGAAAGAGATATTTTATGTTTCTATCAAACAAAATATTTTTTATTTTTTGAAAAAAAATATTTATCTTTCATTGGAATTATCATCATCATTTAGTGAAAAAAGCATGATTCTTTGAAATATTGAGGTACTGAGGTCCATCCTTGAAAAATTGGATTCATTCATAGAACATTTGGTTTGCGTGAAAATATTTTCACATGAAAACATTTACATCAATTAGTTGCCAATTGGTGTAAAAATATGTATTATTGGTACGAAAATATTATCACACTTGATCGCACGGGAGAATTTTGTCACATAAAAATGTTTTCTAGAAAACATTTTCACGCGAACCAAACAGCCATTATGAACGCCATAATAAATGATTATGTTTACAAGGTGATGAGGTGAAGAATGATAGAGTTATGTTTAATACGCTGATTAAAGATGATGTAAGAATTTAAACAAAATCTATCATTTTAAAGTACACAAGGTTAATAGAGTTAATGGAACTTTGGTTATATTCACTCTTAGATGGCGTATGTAAAACTGGGTGGCTCGGGATGTGGCATCATTGTGCTCGAAGCCTAATAAATTATTTTTTAGATTTCGTATAAAGAAATGACACATTTCTAACTTTTGATTACATATTTGATAGCTAGAAGCGATTGTATTTTTCTGTAGAAAAGTAAATATCCAAACTATTTGGGTTCGCATACATTCCCAAAGCTTAAAGGTGGACATTTTCTCAGAGCTCAAAGAATGCCGAACGCGAAGGAGAAGCAGACATAGAAACTCTAAAGAATGTACATTGTTGGAGAACCTAACGAGTCCTTTGCTCACAGACATCGATCATGGAGATGAACTCACCAGAAATACCGATATCATAGCCAAAGATGAGACCGCCAGTGGCGGCCACCACGCAGGTGATGAGCACGAACACGGTCATGTTCCCTCCATAACTCTTCGCCCCACCCTGCGACACAAATCCTCCTTCTGCCATCTTGCCAATGTCTTCGGCCTCCGATCCCAAAAGCCTCAATCCAAAAATGAGGTAAGCCTTGAATCCTCAAAATTGCTTCAACTTATATTCTCTTTTATAGTCCTTGTCTCTAACAAATTCATTACCTGTCTTACCATTTTCTCTTAACTTGGATGGATAGATGAGAGGAAGCTTTTTCAGTGGGCTCTAAAATTATGGGGGAACCATAAATTATGTGGATCTATGCAACCATTCAAAGGGCGGGTTTGACAGGCAAGATTTGAGTTCTTAGGGTGCTTAATTTAGTTATTTAGGCCGGTTTGTTTGTGGGCAAGGTTATTATCTTGCATGGCCATGATGGGATTAGGGTTTTGGGGATTTAACAGGGACGTGGATATGGGTTGTCTTGTCTTCTTTTAACAGCGTGTATTTTGTTCATGCTGGAGCATACTGTACACATGTTCGCTAGAGCAAAAAACCCACCATGAAAGATTTTTTTTTTTTGTATGAAATTTTTTATCCATTTTAGAATTTCCAATATGAGTATTTTCTATTGTTCATAAAATTGCCAGATCTAACTGCTAACTGCCCGGTTAGATCGGAACGAGCCAGCGGTCGGTTCCGATTTTGGGGGTTTAGGGTGATCAACCGGTATATTTTAAAAAAAATTCAAAGAAATGTATACAAATTCTCAAAAATAAGGAAATTGATTTGTAATGTATTTTTAAATATTCCTTACGTTATGGTAAAAATTAACAATTATTTTGGTCATTAATACTCGTTTTTATATTTTTATCATTTTTTTTAGAAAATTTTAAAAATAGCCCTTGGAAATATACAATGGGTTAAATCCATTTTTTTCATTAATTTTCAACTTCATTTGAATGTGCTTTATTTTAATCATTCTTTATATGTTTTTCATAGTTTAGTAGATTTTTTATATTTATTTATTTTCAACACTTTTTTGACCGCTCGAGACTTGCCCGGTTAGTGCGGTTGAATCGACCGGTTTACCGTTAGGCCTGTTAAACCGCTTCCAGGCCCATATATGGTTAACCGTTCTGGTTTAATTTTGCGAATACTGGTATTTTCAGAAGATATTAGCATTTTCAGTTCTTTGATATTTAGATTAGCTAGGCCAAATGTTTTACATCTTTATTCAATATTAGGACATATTAGGACACTAGAACATATCAAATGCATGTGCTTTTTTTTTTTTCCTTTTTTAGGTAGGTTAGTAGGTTGAGGAGGCTGCATTTCCTAAATTTAAGGTACTAATACACTCCTAGACACTGTTTTTGGACAAGAGAGCGAACGCACAATTTGCAGTCGCGGGAGCTTAGAGTCGTTTAGATCTTTTATTGGGAGTTGTCACTCTCTCTATAACTGTGTATTTTTTGGGAATATAGAATGTGGGCGTTTATGGGATTTTGGATTAAGCAATAGGACAATATTAGGTTGGACCACTGGGCAAAGATCCTATTTTTAATCGAAATAGTCAAATATTGGTTATTTATTGATATGCTACGTACAACTTGGTTATGTGTGCTAAGTAATGGGTTATGCATGTTTAGCTGATAGGATGGCACTGCAGCAGAATATAACATTTTAAGTTTCATTTCTATCATGGATAAAGAATTCTCACTTATTAAACTAATTATATATATATATATATATATAAAAGTTAGTCCTAACGTGAAAAAAAATGACAATACAATGATGGGGTAGAGCTACAAAAGCTAAACTCTCAAGGCCCTCAAAGAGTGTATATTATGCTCCCAAGGGGTTTGATATCTCAGGTACACGAGATACTTAGGAATATTTTTCTATCATAAATTTTAAAATTCACTCGATAATCTACAGATTAATTACTTCTAAAAAAATAATAAAAATTAGATTTTGTATTCTTAACAATTAGATCTCACACGCTTAAAATCTTTAGTCAGGTACAATGTGACTTGAATCTTTTTTCTTTATGAGGTTTGTCTTTTGAAGGGAATACATCCTCAAAATATGAGTCCCTAAAAATGCACTTAACTGGAGTATTTAAGGGAGTAAATAGATAGTATGATCCCATGGGAGCACAAAAACACCTTAAAGCAAAGGGTAAATGTTAGACGACTCCATTGTTTTGTCTCAATACGGTTCTTCTTCTAGTACCTGGATAGTTGACTAACAAGCTACTCCATGGTTTCTCTTTAGCACATCGAAATGCCTAAACGGTTATATATATTGGAATAAGCCTTACAAGGATTAGGATTGATATGTCCTTGTCTAGAGGAGGTCTGAATAAGTCTTACAAGGACTAGGAGACCAATGTCCTTGTCTAGAGGAGGTTTGTTGAGTAGTTCATGTCACTACTTTCTTTGATCTATGTTTCTCTCTCTCTTTACAGTCTCAGGTTAATCTAAAGAGACTCTATGTGTCAGTTAAAATGTGAATATGCAAACTTTAAATATGAGATGATAAGAATCAAAAGAAATTATGGACGTCTATACTATATCAACATTTATCATAAAATTATAGACGTCTATATTATACCAACATTTATTATAAATTACAAGATACCGCTTCTACCCTTCCCATACATATTGAGTATAATTTACACCTTCTATACTAACCCTATAGAGCTTATATACTTTCCTTAACACTGCCCTCAAACTTAATATGCTTTAAGAGAGAGCAGGTGGAGTTTGTACAATAAGTTATGCAAATGAGTACTTGGATCTTCAGGTGCACAACACGGATCAATGGGTGAAGTGGTTGCCATGTTTAGATTGTTTGATCAAAAATCGCGTGACGAAAGTTCTGGTCGAGACTTGGAAATGAAAACCAACAAATCTATGTGGCTTTGATTTTGAAATGCTCAATAGAATCAGAGCTTGGAACGGTGAGATCCAAGACTGGTCAGTAAGCCTCTGGAACAGAAGGCAAGAATATGTAGGCTCAAGCAACGGCAGATAAGCAAGCCTCAGAAGCATAAGGTAAGAGCAGGGTAGGCTCGAGCAGCAACAGATCACCCAGTCATCATAACAGAAGGCATGAACAAAGGCATGCTCAAGTAACAGAAGATCAATAAACTTCAGTAAATAAACAAAAAAACTTCAGATCTTCACCAGAGACAAAAAAACAGTCGAGACGACTAAAAGGATAAAATGGGCCACTCTTATATAAGAACAAACAAGATCAAGCAATAGCAAAACAGTAAACTCGATCATACTTGAACAAAACGAAATAGGGGGAAGGTGTTCTCTAGCTTTTATTCCATGTTGGAGTCCTAGGTTTCTCTGAAGAGATTCTCTGTGTCCATTAATGTACAAATAAAAAAACTTGTTTTATATAGACAAATAATAGATGATAAGAATAAAAATCAATTGGATATTGTCAAAAACAAAAAAGAATAAAAAGAAATTGGAAGGACTAAAAAGGGCAAGAGGTAAGTCAAAATGACGCAGTTGGAAGTAATCCGAAAAGATATGGGAACTTATGGCCTCACTGAAGGTATGGTGGACTAGGATTCGTATAGCCAACCCCAATTAATTAAAAAAACGCTATGATAATGATGATGATGATGAAGGAAAAAAAAAATTATAAACACTTATACTACGCTTACACTTGTTAGAATCTCAAACTAATGCAAAGAACTGTCTATATATTGATTATAATAAAAAATATACAAGACCCCATATAAATATACGGCTAATAACAAAACACGGTCGACATATGATATGCATCTATATTGATATATATCCATACTAACACAATAGATACCCATACGCTAACACTCTCCCTCAAATTCAAGATGTTTTGACCATACATTAGCACTTCCCCTCAAACTCAAGATGCTTTAACACATCGCAGCTGGAGTTTGAACAATACTAAGTTATAAAAACGAACAAGTTGGATCTTCAAGTGCATGGCGTGACCGATAGAAGTAGTAGTTTCTATGCTCAAATTGCTTGAACAACAAGTACAAAAAGCAGTGGGGGATCAACATTCTTAGATTTCTTGAACAACAAACACAAAAAGCGGCAAGCCTCAAGAACAGACGGCCTCCTCAAAAATAGATGGCCTCAGAAACATCCGGGATCGAGTAACAAAAAACTCGATCAACAACAGACAAATAGGCATTTAAAACATTCTGGGTCGAGTAACAGAGAACTCAATCATCAGACAAGATCCACTAATGAAAAATTCGATCATCAGAAAGATCATTTTAGAGGGGTTTTTTTTTTTCTTATTTTTAGGTCGAGGTTCAGAGGGTCAATGAGCATATCAGATCAGAGCGGCTGTGTGAGATTTCAGACGGATCTGAAAATCAAGATCCAAAGGCAAAACAAAGAGGGGTGGTTTTCAATTATGGCCGTTTGCTTTTATTTAGACAGGGAGGCAAAACAAGTATCATTCTATTTTTCTCAGTTGTCTTGACTGTTTTTTCTTCTCTGATGAAGATCTGGAAATTTTTTGTTCTTGAGGCCGTCTATTGACCTGAAACGCAAGTTGCTTTCTCTTAACGCATCTTAAGTTTGGACAACTAAAGGCAAGCTTTAGTACTAAAGCAGGAGCAAAAGAAGTTTGAGCAACTGCAAATTAGCGATCCTCAGAAACCGACTCCTCGAACAAAGCAGCCACGCATAACATCAAATCATCAGGCCTCGGGAACAAACAGCATCGATTAACGAAAAAACTCGATCATCGCATAGGATGGAGTAACAAAAAACTCCATCATCCAATAGGATTGAGTAACAAAAAACTCAACCATTAAATGTGATCAAGTAATGGAAAACTTGATCATCAACCAGGATTGAGAAATTCGAGCATCAAATAGGAGGCACTTGGAAGAGCCAATAGAAATCATCAGCAGATCAATAAGCACAGTTGGATCTTAGATTCAGAGTTGAGAACAGTAAGATCCAAAACAAATCAGAGAGTCGAAACACGACTCAACAGAGAGACATCTCAGAGAGTCGAAACATGACTCGGTGGTTGTGTTACAAATGATGCAGAACGGTCATTTTTAGAGGTGGGTTTCAGTGTTGCAGATGGTGCAGATCGGCTGTTTTCATATGCCAT